CCCCCCCCCGGCCCCCCTGCCGTGTCTTCTAGGAAGACAGGCAGGAGGTCCCCACCACTCCGGGGCTGGCCCTCAGTGACATCCTAAGGCGTGTCGAACGTGCCCGGACCCCCAGCGGCCCCCCGGCCCGGCCTAGCCGTTCCCTATGGGACCTGAGTCGTCTGTCCCAGCTGTCGGGTTCCAGTGAAGGTGACGAGGTGAGACCTGGTGGTTAAGGCCCAGAAAGGGGGAGGCGCTTGCCCAGGGTCCTGTGGCTGGCTCGGGTCCCTGAGCAGGAAGCGGTTCCCAGGGCTGTTCACCAAGTCCCTCACTGCACGGCTCAGTTCCCACAGCCCCACTGCGTGCCGGGTGAGAGCCCTGGCTGCAAATCCTGGCGTGACACCGATTGCGAGAGCCGGGGGAGGGCAGGGACCTGCCTTCTCTGAAACTCGGCCTTCACATCTTGGAAACGGGCTCACCCGTTGCATCGCCTCTATGGGGCTGGGAGGAGTCCCGAGGTTAAAGGAAACAGCCACGACAGCGACCTAAGTCCTCGAAACGGAGTTGATTTCTATTCACTCCAGGACAGCCTCGTCCCAGGCCACTGAGGCCATATCTTTTCTTTTTTTTTAAACAATTATTTACTGGAGGGACCAGTAGATGGTGTGATGGTTACGTTGCTGGACTCCTGTGTAGTCAACTGCAGTTCAAGTCCTGGACCCAGTGGCTTAAACCTCACACTGGGCGCATTTGTGTTCGTGCCCAAGACCCTAAGAGGAGAATGCAGGGAAGGGACTGAGGCATGGCCATCCCCCCAGGGAGTGATGTCTCACTTTCTGTCTCTCTGGCAAGCTCTGGAGGGTGCACGCACCCTATAGCAAAAGTCTCTCTTTATTAAAAAAAAGAAAAAGAAAGAAAGAAAAAAAGAAAGAAAGAAGAAAGAGAATTATTTATTGGGACCAGCAAATGGCGTAATGGCTATGTCGCTGGACCCCCAGGTAGTTGACTGCAGTTCGAGTCCCAAACCTGGTAACTTAAAACTCACGCCAGGCATGTGTTCGTGCATGCCCAAGATCCCTTGAGGAGAATGGAGGACTGCAGTGTGGCCATTCTCCCTGGAGGGGTGATTCCGCTCTTTCTGTCTCTCTGTCTCTCTCTGTGTCTCCAGCACACAACCTATAGCTAAAATCTCTCTTAAATTATTTAATCTTTTTTAAAAAAGAATTATTGTTTATTTAATTCAACTCATTATTTTTTAATTTGACCAGACAGAGAGAGAAAGAAAAAGCGAGAAAGCAAGCCACCAGATTTGGGACTTGAACTGCAGTTGGCCATGTGGGAATCCAGCGCCTTTAACCACCACACCACTTGCTGGCTTAATCTTATTTATTTATTTATTTTTCAATTTTCTATAAGGAACATGCTCGCACTAAACAGAGAGAGAAAATGAGAAAGCAAACTGCCAGGTCTAAGACTCGAACCACAGTTGTCCATGTGGGAGTCCAGCACCCTTAATCACGATGCCACCTGCTGGTCCCAGAGATCATATCTTATCATGCCTATTTTTATGTGTGGGAGAGCTGAAGCTCAGAGAGGATAAGTAACTTGTTCAAGGTCAGGATGATATGTATCT